GTGTAGGGCTTCTCGTTACATTTCCGTGGATATAAGGATCGTCGGAATCGGGCATATAACGAAGAAATTATGGCATTCGGAAGTTTTGTGGTTTTTAGGCTTTGCCGAGTACGCGGGGTGTACACAAAGTGTACGCGGGGCGTACTAGTGAAGAAGGCAGTACACGGGGCGTACCTTGGAGTATGGTGGGCGTACTGACCAGGATGGTCGCAAATGTTCTTCAGAGTACGTTGGGCGTACCATATGTATGTTGGGCGTACGCCAGTTAGATCAGAACCCTATTTTAGGGTCTTGGACCCTATTTAAGCTCCTTATCTCATAACCTAACCCTAATATCTTCAGCCTCCATCCCTCTAAACCCTAGAAATCGACCGATAGCCCCCATTTGAGTGATTGTAGAGCTTTAAAGTGATTTTTGTGTGTTTTGGTGCTTGAGGAGGAAGAAGGAACTTCTTGAAGAGTCATTGTTTGACTTGGAACTTTTAGATCAAAGCTTTGTGCACCTAGATCTATCTTCTGGAGCTCGTGGAGTTGTCAGGACAACAACTAAGGATTTCTTGCAGTGGACTTCAACAGCATGAGGTGAGTTACCTTCCCGCAGAGGTGGGTCTAAAGTACGAATGCCGACCCACCAGTAGGTGATTATGTATGAGATGATTGTCTTTGTGATAATTGTCTGGTCTGCCATTATCTGATATGCTTTATGTGCTAGGATGCTCTAGTCCCCGGATACCAGTTGAAAGATATCGAAGGGGTAGTTAGTACCCATGCATGCCTAGCAGTATGTTTATGTTATGTTATTATGTTGTAGTGGTAGTGGTGAAATAGTTCCCAGTAGTCGGTTGAGATAAACCGACGGGTAATTCAAGCACCCCAGAACGGCTTGGCACGGGTAAGTCAAGCACCCCAGGATGGCTTGACCTGGGTAAGTCAAGCATCCCAGATTGGCTTGACATCGGTAGGTCATGCACCCTCAGAATCGCCTGGCAGTATTTTATTGTAGTGTGTGTGGTATGATGGGGGAACTCACTAAGCTTCGTGCTTACGGTTTACAGTTTTGGTTTCATGCACTTCTTTTTAAAATGAAAGGAGCCGGCTCGATCGCAACGCATCACACTATGTTTTCCGCACATGAGATCTTTGGGATTACACTCTGATAATATTTTATGATAATATGTTTTGATTATTGAAACTTTGGTCTTGACATGTGATGTTATTGCGAATGTTTTTATATTATTTGTTTTATAATAAGTTAATTAAAAATGAAATTTTTGGTCTTGAATTTTGGGATGTTACAAGTTGGTATCAGAGCCTTGGTTTGAGGGATTCGGGCACACTCTCGAGTGTGTCTGGGCTCAAACTGAGGATTTGGTATGAAAATTTTCATTTTATAAAAGGAATTTTGAAAAGAATTTGAAAAGAGAAAAGAACTTTGAAAAGAACAAGTGTGTGATGCGTGCAATCAGCCGAGCTCAAGTAAGTTTTCCCCAAGATACCCATACATGTTATGTTACGATATGATATGATTATGAGAACTGCATGCTAGATGAGGGATAAGGATCTAGGAAGGATGCCTTATATGCCTATTGTATGTGCTTGTACACCTGCATGCTAGTACTGATCAGTCAGTGATAGGACGACCTGTTTAGGTTATGTCTGATTGTATGAGCTTTAGAATCTCATGCGAGTACAGATTCCTGATTAGAGGATATAATGGTTTGATTGGAGTATGTTGGTTAGATTTTCCATTGTCTGAATGTTGCTTGCTTTGTGCTTTGTGGGACTCCTAGTGATGTGAGTTAGCTACTAAGTGAATATGCTAAGTCACATGGGACACAGACCGGATAATCTCAGAGTGATGGACTTGACCCTATTGCGCAACTCTTGTCTGAGTCTAACCTTTCTAGGGATGGGTCTTTTACTCGAAGGATTATCTGATCTCTGTTGCATGTGGCTATATTCATAAGGTAGCTAGTTGAAATTACTAGGATTCTTTCAGCAGCTGAAGGACTGGGTGGCTTCGGTAACCTAGGGAAAGACTAATAGGATTAGTGCTGGGAATGGTATTAGTGCAAGGGACTTGGTGGAGTCGAGGCAATCTTTGAGGAAAGTATGGATGGATGTGGAAGGTAGTATGGGCCCATACTACTGAAAGCAGAGGATTTGTACTCGATTCAAGGAAGGCTGAGATAAGACCAGGGAGCTTGTAGTGTTTGTGATCCCTCTATTTGTAACGAGTATTCAGATGGTTGTTATGGTATGTTTTCAGCATTGAGACGCTATGTGAGATACCAATTGGTAATTCGGGTGTCGGAGTGGGATGTAGCTCAGGCTCTGGAGCCGGGCAGCTTGGCGATCGGATGAGAGAGTTTATTTCAGCTGAGATTACGCGCAACATCATTGATCAGACTCCTGTGATCTTCGGTTCGGTCAAGGAGGTGATTTTGGAACTTTTGGATAGTCGCCTAGAGGCCTTTCGGGCCGAGATCGTTGCGGGGCAGTTGGGGGCTCATCCTTAGCCCAATGCTTACGGATCCCTGCGATCCTTCAGGAAGGAGGACCCTACTATTAATTCTGGTCATTTGGGACTGGGGGTTGGCTATGCACCTTGTCTTCAGGAGAGTCTACCACATGATTGGATCACTGTGGAGGTTTTGTGTGCCCTATGAGAGGAGTTACTCGACATCATTGGGCGTGTCATTGATAGAGTGGTCGCCAGACTCGAGGGGCGGACCTCAGTTATACAGGCGATTGATGGGATGGTCGAGCTAACTCAAGAGAAAAAGATTGGTTTGGATGGACAGCCAAGGAAGAGGAAGCGGGAACATTGTATGGGTCGACAAACTGAGCAGTTGGGTGCGACAACATCAAGTGTCAGAGATCTGAGGGGTCGTGGCAGTTTCACGAAGGACGAAGGGCTACAAAAGGATGTTCGTAGCAGGTCTAAGTGTGGAAGGTGCGGGTGGAAGGGTCACAATCGCCAAGAATGCACGTTAGAAGTAGAGTTGTGTCATTGTTGTCATCATCCTGGTCATATCAGGGTGAATTGTCCCCACATAGAGGTTAGGTCTGCTCATGATTCATCGCAGGTACTTCCGTAGGAAGTCAAGATCGAGCCACAACTGATCGCTGATATGTAATTTGAAATTCCCCTTTCTTTAATGAAATTATGGTGTAACTACTCTTAATCAACAATTGTATTTTCTTTGAGATCTCACTAAGTTTTGGGTAAGTGTATCCATGGGTTTATTTCTCTACTTGTATGTGGATTATAATTTCAAGAAATATCATATGCCAATTGCATACCATGAGTTGTTAGTGGATTAGGAGAGGGATTGTATCTCGTATAGAGAGTTCCAAGTGCTTGGATGTTATTTAGGGTTGAGGTCAAGATCGGCTTTGGGGTATTGTGTGAGAGGTTTGTGGTTAGTTCATTGGGCTAGCTCCCATGTATCGTTGGGTATAGTGATTTCATCATCCGTTTGGGAACGGTACCAGAAGGATACGGGTGTTAGACGCATAGGTGTTTGGTCATTGGATGTTTAAAGAGAATTGTACTTTCACATGGGTTGTGTTCGGTCAGAGTTCAGTGGTGCTATGAGAATGGAAGTGGGAGCGAAGATTCGCCAGTCAGGGTAAAGATTGAGGCCTCTATTCGCCATCATGGGAGGTGGATTGAGGTATCAGACCAGATCAGATTTCAAGAGTACTCTTCACGATTTCAGAGAATGGGTGGTCTTAAGGTTTAACTGGTAGTGGAACGCTAGCATTGGTAAGCACAGGTTGCCAGATAGTGTTAGAAGTGTTGTAAGTCTGCGGGTGTAGCCGTAGCATTCACAAGATTGTCAGATAGTGATAGAAGTGTTGTAAGTCTGCGGGTGTAGTCGTAGCATTCACAAGGTTGGAAGATAGTGCTAGAGTACTGGAAGTCTACGGGTGTAGCCATAGCATTCACAAAGTTGTCGGATAGCGTTAGAGTGTTGTAAGCCTGTGGGGGTAGCCGTACCTTTCACTAGGTTAGTAGATAGCATAGGAGTGATGTCAGATCACGGGATGAACCGTAGCACCCATCAGTTCTGGTGCAGCAGTAAGGACGTGGAAAATCCACGGATTGGGATACAAAATTACCTAGATGGATTAGATCTGGTTGAGCTCGTGGAAGACCGTGGGAACACCACGAAAGTCGTGGGATCAAGGAAGCGATGGGCCACATAAGGTCGTTTGTGATATAATGCTATCTATATTCATGATGCATTCACTTTTAGCTTTGGGATTGGTGACGTCAGGATTCAACGTATGGACTGATCGATTGGGTCAGGAGGTCGATAGAGCCTCAGTGGCAAGATAACTAGTGACAACTGTTGACAAATAAGGATTGCATTCGGAAGCCGTGTGGGGCGACTGTGTGGGAGTCTTTAGGCTCAGGAACCAGAATGGAATCCGGTACCTTAGATGACTGGCAGACGAAATGGGACTAGGAAGGTCTCGGTGGATTTTGGAAAGTAGCCAGGAAGCAGCATACTGTTCAGGCAGTTCAGTGCTTTGGGCAGCTTCAGTGTCTCGAGCGGTAATGGTGTTATAGGATGTCATGTACGGACGAAGCGACTGATTGATTGGGAAGTGATGAGTCACTTACGGTGGGATTAAATAATCTCAGAGTAGTTGATTTGAACCTGTTGCGCAGCTCTCGTATGAGTCTAACCGTTGCAGGGATGAATCTTCTACTCGAAGGATTATCTGAGCCTTCTGTCAAGTAAGAGTGTCCTGTAGCGGTATATGGTTGGTAATTTTGCTCCGTTCGAGATAGCATGGTTAGCAGGGATTGGAAGCAATTTGTGTGGTGCGAGACTATATGAGGATGGTTTGGTGGCAGATCTGATAGGGAGACAAGCCATTGAGACTCATGCTTCAAATTTCAGGTGAAGTATGGTAGGTTTTATTTGAAGATATTGAGGATTCGTCTTCATCAGATTTGAATAATTAATCTAAGGATTTGTTGTATGATCAGAGTTGGAAGGATTATGACTGGTTTTCCATCAGTTGGGAGAAGGCATGGGTTGTTCAGCACGGGCGACCTGTCGGGAAGTCAGGTTATTATAGATGTTGGGTATCGGAAGGTAGAAGTCGCTGCAAGGGCGGAAGGTTCGGGTGTTATTTCCTGGATAGGAGTTCCGGTTGCCTGGAGAAGGTTATTTTACGTGCAGAACTTCCGGTCATGATCATCAAGTTGATTGTGTTGGCATAAGGGTTAATAAAGAGCGATTTTGAGGAAGAAATCTAAATTGAGTGGGGGAGAGTTGTAACGCCATGTTCCAAATCGATTCCTAGTCTGAGGATGTGGCCAGAAGATCGATCATCATAAGGATTATGGCTTTTGAAAAGGTATGATCTAGGCCCATTTGGGTGCGGGTGATGTATTAGAAGTGACCCGGGTGTTCGGTTCGTGTTTTAGAGCCTAGGGGTATTTCAGTAAAGTGTCAGTTCGGGCTTTTGTGGAAAATGGATCTTTGTTCGGAAGGTCTTAAGAAATGTATGAGTTGATAGAAGTGTAGGGCTTCTCGTTACATTTATGTGGATATAAGGATCGTCAGAATCAGGCTTATAACGAAGAAGTTATGGCATTCGGAAGTTTCGTGGTTTCCAGGCTTAGCCGAGTATGCGGGGCGTACTAGTGAAGAAGGCAGTACGCGGGGCATACCTTGGAGTACGCTGGGCGTACTGACCAGGATGGTCGTGAATGTTCTTCGGAGTACGCTGGGCGTACGACAGTCATATCAGAACCCTATTTTAGGGTCTTGGACCCTATTTAAGCTCCTTATCTCATAACCTAACCCTAATATCTGCAACCTCCATCCCTCTAAACCCTAGAAATCGACCCATAGCCCCCATTTGAGTGATTGTAGAGCTTCAAAGTGATTTTTGTGTGTTTTGGTGCTTGAGGAGGAAGAAGGAACTTCTTGAAGAGTCATTGTTTGACTTGGAACTTTTGGATCCAAGCTTTGTGCACCTAGATCTATCTTCTGGAGCTCGAGGAGTTGTCAGGACAACAACTAAGGATTTCTTGCAGTGGACTTCAGTAGCATGAGGTGAGTTACCTTCCCGCAGAGGTGGGTCTAAGGCACCAATGCCGACCCACTAGTAGGTGATTATGTATGAGATGATTGTCTTTGTGATAATTGTCTGGTCTGCCATTATCTGATATGTTTTATGTGGTAGGATGCTCTAGTCCCCGGATACCGGTTGAAAGATACCGAAGGGGTAGTTAGTACCCATGCATGCCTAGCAGTATGTTTATGTTATGTTATTATGTGGTAGTGGTAGGGGTGAAATAGTCCCCAGTAGCCGGTTGAGATAAACCGACGGGTAAGTCAAGCACCCCAGAACGGCTTGACACGGGTAATTCAAGCACCCCAGGATGGCTTGACCTGGGTTAGTCAAGCATCCCAGAATGGCTTGACATGGGTAGGTCAGTCACCCCCAAAATTGCGTGGCAGTATGTTATTGTAGTGTGTGTGGTATGTCGGGGGAACTCACTAAGCTTCGTGCTTACGATTAACAGTTTTGGTTTCAGGTACTTCGTTTTCAAAGGAAAGGAGCCGGCTCGATCGCAGCGCATCACACTATGTTTTCCGCACATGAGATCTTTGGGATTACACTCTGATATTATTTTATGATAACATGTTTTGATTATTGACACTTTGGTCTTGACATGTGATGTTATTACAGATGGTTTTATACTATTGGTTTTATAATAACTTAATTAAAAATGAAATTTTTGGTCTTGAATTTTGGGATGTTACATCTAGGTCGTCTCCCGTCGTCGGTCCGCTGTTGCATATTCTGTCCTTGGGGAGGATGTTGGTGGTGATACTATTAGCCGACGCTTACGGTGGAAACGCAACATCGAATCTTTTCTCGCTAAGTCGCCTGTTGTTATCGAGATTGGTGATGGTGATGAGATGTCAGCGGCAAAGGCGGTTTGTTCACACCGTCAAGGGAAAACAATCGTTGCGGGAGGTTGCTCCACCTCACCCTCGGCTTTGGATGACGTCACGTCGAAGGTGGGCCTTCCTCTTCGGGCGCCCCTGGTGTGTATCTCCCAGGGGTGGAACCTTACACCCAATTCTCTTCATTCGGAACAGGGTCCTGTTAGTGAATGGTGTCATCATGCATTTCCTTCTGCTACCTTGGAGGCCCTCGATGCCCTTTCTTATTCTCATATGACGGATGATCTTCATTACGTCGTTGCTCAGATGGCTCCTTATTTGGTGGTGGCTGTCGGCCGTCTCCGTTACATCAGGGCTGACCGGGTGGAGTTGGCTCTCGTTAAATCGGAACGCGACGAGCTCGCAGAGAAGGTCTGGCTCCTCGAGGAGGAGCGATGTAAGTTCGATGAATGCTACCTTGTGCTATCTGGGGAGAAAACCGTTGCTGAGGCTCAGGTGGAGACTCTGGATGAGGAGGTCAACCGCCTATCTTAGCAGGTCCAAGATTTGGATACGGAGAAAGCAGCATTATTGGAACATTTGGCATTGCGAGGCAGTGATCTCGCAACCGAGGTATCGAGGAGGAAAGTCCTGGAGACTGATTTGTCTTGGGTTCTTCGAAAAGGGGTTGTCCGCTCAGTGGATCGTGTTGTCGAGAGCAGTGAGTTTGTGCCCGGGATTCGCCGCGTGAAGGCCGTGTGTGTGGTTATTGGTGTGGAGAGGGGAAAACAGGCGGCGTTGGTGTTTTCCTCTAGTAGCGGCTCCGGCAGATCCGAACCGGGCGTCGTGGCTCAGTCTACTGACCCCATGCACGCTGCCATTAGGGCTTTCGTTGAGACGGACTTCACATCTTATCTCAGACTGGGCGAGCTTGGTCTTTCTGATCTCCGCCATTTGTGTTCTGAGGAGGAGGACACTGTTCCAGACGACGGTGTTGAGGGCGGCGTGTGAACGCAATCTTGTTAGGGTTGATGTTTTACTATATGTTTTTTGTACGCTTGTTGTTGTTATTTGCTGTTTGTTTGACACCACAAGATGTTTTCAGTGTTTAATGTTTGTATGTTTTGAGAGTCATCATGTTTTCCTTATTTTCGAGGAAGCGTCTCCCCGAAGAGTATTTTGTAGGCCTGGACTTCGGCCTTGAGCCGGGTGACCTACTACCTTCCTTTTATGGTCGCTTAAGGTGAGCCGAGGTCGTCATCTCGAGGCTCCCTGGACCCGCGTACCCTTTGAATACATCTGTTAGATTTTTATTTTTATGGGAAGGTTATGATCCTTCATACCCTTTGAATACATCTGGTTCGAGAGCTTAGAGACCTTGTTGTTTGGCCGAACCGACGTGTCCCCTGAGGAATCATCTCCTTTCGAGATTTGTTGTTACATGTTGGCGATTTGGTCCGCCTAAACGGTGTGGGTGATCGGCTTCCGATCAATAACTCGCTATTAACACCACCAATGTCGTGAATCACCCAACCACTCGACCATTTTTATAATCAGCTACCTCACAGGTGGCTGCCGCCACCGAAAAAAAAAGGCAGAAAAGGGTGGCCACGAGGTCACCGGCGGTGATAGCGACGCCCCACAACGTCTCACTCACAGAAACGAAGAAGGAGAGAGACAGAGAGAGAGAGAGAGAGAGAGAGTGGCGAGCA